GGGTCCTCATTTTACCCACCTCGGAAGGATGGAAGGCTGAGTCAACCCTGAGCCGATGAGATTTGAACAGCTGAACTGCAGAACTGCAGTCAGCTGAAGTAGCCTGCAGTGCTGCATTTTACCACTGCGCCACCTCGGCTCACGTAGCTCAAGTAGTAATCCATACAATCAGCTTCTCTCCCCCAGTAAATGACATAATAGGGAACTAGGAATGGATGGTATATTTAGGCCTTAAGAAATAGCCATAAAATTGTGTGGGAAACAAATAAGCTCCCCAGACTTTTCTGTCTGTCTTCTTGTCCTTCTGTCTCTCTTTCTATTTTTTCCCCCAGAACTGTGAAGTGTTATTAATCGAAAAGTAAACAAGACATTTGTAACAGTGAATTTGAGCAGATGCTGATGTAGTCATAAAATAAGCAAGGGGCATATTCATCTTGCAGGACTGCAGTTGTTGGGATTTTGCAAGCTAAGTAATAAGGGTGCAAAAATTTTAATTTTAAAAAAGCTCAATGTTTCTATATAGTATACAAAACTATCCATTTTATAATTAACCACTTCTACCATGCATCCTGTAGAGCATTGTGGATATTGAAATGTCTGAGTTCCTAGATTCCTTGAGTGGCTGTAAATAACAACATTTTTTTGTTTGTTTAGAAGTTGTTGTGAATATATTCAGTGAGGCTTCTGAGGTAAAAGTCCATGACTAAAAGAAAGCCCTTAGAAGTGGAGTTGCCATCTGAATAAACTAACAGAGAATTGCATTTTAATTCTATGACTTTGATGTGGACAGGGAGAAAAAAATAGCACTAGCAGTATTGCCATGCCAGATGTTGAGTCTAGGAGAATACATTTTTAGGCATATAGTATGAGCCTTAAATCCTACACACTCATAGTTTCTGACAGAATTTTAGGAACAGTGTTATCTGTGTGGATGGGGAAAGGGGATTAGACCCCCTCAGCATTGTAATAAAGGCTTGTGTCTTTTATATGTGCCTCACAACATCACAAATATGACCCAAAGGAGTGGGGTTTGTGCTGTGACACTATAACTCCACCGACAAAACCAGCAACACCCTGCAGATACCACTGTTTTGAATCTTAGTTCGGTACCAATGTACTTCCTTTTTGTTCCTCATACCAAACTCAATGTTGCTATAGAAACACAAGTGGATTGGAGTTTTCAAAATAAAACATAACTGCATAAAATTCCCATCATGAAGCATTTTTTTTTGCCCACTACATGTGGGTTAGTCATAGTCTTCAACTGTTGGACATCATATGAAATTAAAACACAGAAGGTTGGTAGGCAGAAAATGGAGAGAACCAACAGCACATAAAGAGATTATTGTAAAAAACATATTTAGGACAGGGAGGGTGGAGGACTGCTTTTCTCTTGAGGGCAGCATTTCCTTGGAAAAAAATATTACAAATAATTCCTCCCTTCCTCTTGTGATCTTCCATCTTTCAATCCTTTGCCTCCCACTCTTCTTTCTCTTAGTCTTTTTCTCTCCATCTCTTTCTCCATATTCAGTACAGCAGGATTCAGAGTACTTATGCTAGACAATTCAAGAGTCACTGGGAGTTGGGTGGCCTGTATATTTAATAAATTGTTATTAATAATTAACAGATAGCTTTATGTAGTGTATATTGGAGGTGGTGACCCTTTGAGAGCTGTAGGCAACAAAATTTCATTTTAATGAATGCTGATTAGTGTACGAGTGTACAAAAAAGTGACAATAAAGTTATTATATTCTAAAAAAGATATTCTTACGGGGAAGCTTCTGTAGATCACTAATGACTGTGCGCCCATTTTCTAAAAAAGCACTATAGAAACAACTGGACTTTCTTTCAGAGCACATTTTGGAGGATTCTTTCATTCTACTTGCCCTACTAATTGTTTTTTGTCTTTGATTTCAGCTTCTTCATCATCACCTCGGTTCAACTCTGACCTGGAGCAGGCGAGGCCACAGACCACTGGTGAAGAGGAGCTCCAGCTCCAGCTTGCCCTGGCAATGAGTCGAGAAGAAGCAGAAAAGGTAATGGCTTTTGTTCCAAACCAGCTTCCTTAGAGCCTGGCAAATACCAAGGGAAATCACCAAGCATACTCACTGCCTCAAAGGTTGAATGTGAGCTGGATCAAAAAGCCAGGCACACTAAAGCTGAAAATGGGAATCATGAGAAAGAATTCAATGTCTTGCTTCATTCCTCAAGGAAGGTTTTGTTGGCTTGCTGGAACCAGGCGCAGGTGCACTTTGATAAGGAAGCAACCTTATTTATTTGTTCGTTTTTAAATTTTATTTGTCCCCTGCCTCACCAAGGGGCTACTCCAGGCATAAATAAAATGAAAGGGGTGTAAACAGAACCAAAGTAAAATAATAGAACCATAAAATAAACAATGAAAAAGAACACAACGAGAATACACCAAAGTGGTGACCAAAAAGATGGACAGGCGGAGAGCAATGAGGGGAGAATTTGTCATTAGTCTAGCTGCCACCTCCAGTGTGGAAATCCCCCAACTAAGACCCCAGGCCAACTGAACCATGCCTTCAGGCCCTTGTGGAAGGATAGGAGGGTGGGGGGGAGATCATTGGTGGGATTAATATTTTTTTACTACTGGTTCTGTGGGCATGGCTTGGTGGTTGTGGCAGGGGAAGGTTACTGAAAAATCCCCATTCCCTCCCGATCAGCTGGGACTCAGGAGTCAGAGAATAGATGGGGGTGGGGCCAGTCAGAGGTGGTATCAAAATTTCTGCTACCAGTTCTCCAGAACTGATCAGAACCTGCTGAATACCACCTCTGGGGCAGATCTCACCTTAGAAGTGTTCCAAAGAATGAGTGCTGTGGCAAAGAAAGCTCTTCTTCTGGATCCCGATAGTTAGAGATGTTTGACTGACAGGATCCAAAGTAGGCCTTTCTTCCATTGTATAAGAACTTCCTTTCTTGTAGAAGAAAGTGTTTTGTTGTGAGTCCTATTTATGTAGTAACAAAATAGGACCAATAAAGCCTTAGGCACAGGCAAGGTATTTCCTACTTGTTATCAGTTAAAGCTAGTTCCATGTTCAGGTAGTCTTGACTTACCACCGTTTGCTTAGCACTGTTGAAAGTTATGACCTACCTAAAAGGGGGACTGAAAAAAAAGGAAGTTCCAGTGCTCAGCCTCTCCACAGTCATATGATCACACTTTGGCACTCGGCACATGGCTAAATTTACGGCTGTTTGCAGAGTTCCACAATCATAAGACTGCAATTTTGCTCAAAATTGGCACTTTTGGTTTTCAGCACAAATGCACCGCAGCAAACAATGGGTTTGCTAAATGACTACTGTGTTCACTTGACTGCAGTGCTCACACTTACAACCACACGGTTTATTTAACAACCTCTGCAAAAAAACATTGTAAAATCACGTGACGAATCCATTTTATGACCATTACGGCTTATAACCATAATGGGCAGGCTCCATTATCATTGTTACTTGAGGACTACCTGTAACAAAACGTAGGGATGCAGTTACAAGAAGGTATTATAGAAGCTATTATGCCTGATTTTAATTTTATTGATTTTATGCTTTGAATTTTGAGTATTTATTTATTTGGTTGCAGCTGCCATAAATGGCAGATTACAAGTAGGAAAGTGGTTGATAAATTTATTTAAATAACTACCGTAAAATACACGAGGAAGGCAAACTTAATTCCATTATTGGCATCTGGAAGATGTAGTAAGTGTTACACAGAACCATAGAATGTAACAATTTGAAGGGATCATATAAGTCAACTCAGTGCTGAGTGCAGGATTACATTTGAAAACCTCCAGCAAGAGGAAGTCCACTGATGATCTAGATCAGTGTTTTTCAACCACTGTGCCGTGGCACACTAGTGTGCC